ATCTTACCGAAAAAGGCTTAGTCGACATGCTCGTGCCGCTTATAACCTTGGAACCTTGGAATCCCGTGACTTACACTGACTCATCCGATCATGGGGTCTCGAGCCCCTTGGGGTCATCTGATTGGCCCAGCCGTCTCGTCTTATCGACTGTCCCCGGCGTCATCGGCCCAAGGGACCTGCTTCTCCTCATCTCACAAGCCAGGGCATCACCGTCTTGCTTCTTCGAACCCCTCAACTTTATTTCAATTATCAAGTATCTTGTGGTATCTTCAAATTGTAAGTGATTGATTTCTCTTCCTTTTCCTTATTTTTGAAAGCCATTCCTGCAAACAGTTACTGATAAGAGGTGCCTGACTCCAGACCCCAAGGTACCCGCTCTTCATCGCCAACTCATCATTAGCATCATTCTTGCTGTGAAATCCAAACACACTTTGCAATGAGAGTCCTTTCCGCCACTCTCTTGGTGGGAGCTGCTTCGGCCGCCTCCCCGTCCGTCCAGCAGGTCCTCGGAGCTCACAGTGAGCATGCGGAGAACATAGTCCAACAGGGTGCGGATGCATTCAAGCCCCTGCAGCACCTCCAGGACCAGTTCAAGTCTCTCTCTAGTGAGGCTCGTCAGCTCTGGGAGGAAGTCTCTAACTACTTCCCGGAATCTATGGAGAGCGCTCCTTTGCTTTCCCTGCCCAAGAAGCACACCCGCCGTCCTGACTCGCACTGGGATTATCATGTCAGTGGTGCGGAAGTCCAAGACATCTGGGTCTCTGGTGTCGAGGGTACCAAGGAGCGTGAGGTTGACGGCAGGCTGGAGGCCTACAACCTTCGCGCCAAGAAGGTTGACCCCAGTGCCCTCGGCATCGATCCCGGCGTGAAGCAGTACAGTGGTTACCTGGATGACAACGAGAACGACAAGCACCTGTTCTACTGTGAGTTTAGAAACAATATGTTCATTTATTTATAGTTTATCTAACATCTGAAAGGGTTCTTCGAATCTCGCAATGACCCCAAGAACGACCCCGTTGTCCTGTGGCTGAACGGCGGTCCCGGCTGCTCGTCCCTCACCGGACTTTTCATGGAACTTGGACCCAGCTCCATCGGTGCTAATATCAAGCCTATTTACAATGATTTTTCATGGAACAACAATGCCTCCGTGATCTTCCTGGACCAACCCATCAATGTCGGCTACTCCTACAGCGGCTCCTCCGTCAGTGACACTGTTGCTGCTGGCAAGGACGTCTATGCTCTCCTCACATTGTTCTTCAAGCAATTCCCCGAGTACGCTAAGCAGGACTTCCACATTGCTGGCGAGTCATACGCTGGCCACTACATCCCTGTCATGGCTTCGGAGATTCTCTCCCACAAGAAGCGCAACATCAACCTCAAGTCTGTTCTCATTGGAAACGGTCTCACCGACGGTCTTACTCAGTACGGGTACTACCGCCCCATGGCGTGTGGTGAGGGTGGTTACCCCGCTGTTCTAGATGAAAGCACCTGCCAGTCCATGGACAATGCGCTGTCCCGCTGCCAAAGCATGATCCAGTCCTGCTACAACAGTGAGAGCCCCTGGGTTTGCGTTCCAGCCTCGATCTACTGCAACAACGCCATGCTTGGCCCCTACCAGCGCACCGGACAGAACGTTTACGATGTTCGCGGCAAGTGTGAGGACGAGAGCAACCTGTGCTACAAGGGCCTGGGCTACGTTAGCGAGTACCTTGGCCAGGAGAGTGTGCGTGAGGCTGTCGGTGCTGAGGTTGATGGCTACGATTCATGCAACTTCGACATCAACCGTAACTTCCTCTTCAATGGCGATTGGTTCAAGCCTTACCACCGTCTCGTGCCCGGTCTCCTCGAGCAGATCCCCGTTCTAATCTACGCCGGTGATGCTGACTTCATCTGCAACTGGCTTGGCAACAAGGCCTGGTCTGAGGCTCTTGAGTGGCCTGGCCAGAAGGAGTTCGCTTCCGCCGAGCTTGGGGACCTCAAGATTGTGCAGAACGAGCACGTTGGCAAGAAGATCGGCCAGATCAAGTCCCACGGTAACTTCACCTTCATGCGTATCTTCGGTGGTGGCCACATGGTACCCATGGACCAGCCTGAGTCTGGCCTGGAGTTCTTCAACCGCTGGATCGGTGGCGAGTGGTTCTAAACACTCGACCACGTTGCTCTATGATACAATGCGTTGATGAATTTATCGCACTGCGTGTTATTGAACTTGTGACTGGCTATTTTAGCACAACTTGACACCTGATCCTCTGGGAAATTCAGAAAGGCCGCATACCACCGAGGTCGGTATCGTCTGTTTTCCTGCTGATTTTTGGTGATTTAGCTTTTGTTTAGTATATATATCTAGGCAACTCTGAATTTAATCAATCTTGGATAGACTTCAGCATCGAGTAAAAGCGAAGGTTATAGGAAGGTAGTTTTGCTCATTTAAGCCTTAACACCTTGAAAAAGACTTAACAAAACTGCCAAAAAAAAAAGACAACGTAAGGCCGCATAAGAGGTTGACTATTCTTAGGTCGTTGAGATTGGTGTACATATTGGGTGTAGTGTACCTAGCAAGTATGGATATATACAACCTTGGAAGTGCGGGTGTTCGTGATAGGCGTATATGAAATTATATTAACCCCAGTACCCCATAGTTGTTAATCGATGGCTTAGGCCTTGTCCCACACCGATGGTCTAGGACATCCAACCCCACAGCAATGTATTCCCCGAAGTATACCATGGAGCCTTGCCGGATATTCTACCCTACGAGGGCCGAGGATTCAGACAGGATCATCGAGTAGGCAAGTTGATCCACAGATGATCCCATATAATCCACGGCCAAGAGCAAAGTAAATCGAAGAGATCGGTTCATTTCATTGATATGGTTCATTTTCAATTTTTTGGCAGCCGGGAAAAGATCCCACGAGTGCCCATAGAAACACACCGGAAATAACGGAATCCCTCCAAGAACCCCCGGCAAAAAAACGAACAGAATAATTTAGCCCTTCTTCTTGCTGACACCGACGGTGCGACCGCGGCGGCCAGTGGTCTTGGTGTGTTGACCACGGACACGGAGGCCCCAGTAGTGACGCAGACCACGGTGGGAGCGGATCTTCTTGAGGCGCTCGAGATCCTCACGGAGCTTGGAGTCGAGACCGTTGGAGACAACCTGGGTGTCCTTGCCATCGGTGATGTCGCGCTGTCTGTTGAGGAACCACGAAGGGATCTTGTACTGAGTAGGGGTCTGGAGGATGGTCACGATACGCTCGAGCTCTTCGGTGGTGAGCTCACCAGCACTATAGAAAGTGTCTTGTCAGCTTTGACGGTCCTGTGATATTTGTGCGATTGGTTGTGCGATATTCCGTGTCGGTTTCAGGTCCAAACTGCTCCATTCTCTCTTTCCAGCGTTTCCCCCAATAACAAACGGATGGGAATGATTGTGTATTCGATGGGGGTTGTGGTGAACGTACCGCTTGGTGAGGTCGACATCGGCCTTCTTGCAGACCAGGTTGGAGTAACGGCGACCGACACCCTTGATCTGGGTCAGCGCGTACATGATCTTCTGCTTGCCGTCAACATTGGTGTTGAGCAGACGCAAGATGAACTGGAAGTTCGTCTTCTCGCCGGTCACGAGCGCTGTTATCGGCAAATTTCCATGTTAGCCAACATCCAATTTCGAGAACCGCTGTCTCTGCCACCGCTTCCTGCTTTTCTTTTTTTTGGGCAAATTCGTGGTTGTATATCATATAATGCTCTCAGACTGAAAGGAGGGGTCGTCACGTACACATGATGGGCGATGGGCGAGGATCGCGATGGGTTGTCGACAGAGGGATGGAGAGAGGAAGTCCAACGTATGTGACTTTGCTTGTGGGATCGGGTAATTGGGGCGCTAACCTTATTTGGACGAGGGCTCGCTTGTTAGGCGCTAGGCCCAAAGTGGCTAGTTTTTAAAGCAGATCATGTGAAATCACATGACTGTAAATTCCAGTGTTAGATTCAGGTAATTTGATCTGTTATTTACGCGTATCTTACCCCAAGCCCTGACAAAACGAGCTTTGTTTTCCTCGTCCTCGACATGAAACTGTGACGAACCCAATTCTTGGAGTTATCAGCCACTGTCAAAGTGTCTCTTTGTGCTTTGAGCAATCTTTCATCAGTCCCATATTAATTTGCCCTGTAGCACTGTCATTCCTTTGACCCATGTTTTTATATTTCTTTTTTCAATCTTTGATTGAGCGATTCGATCTCGTCTCTAAGTCTATCGGCACTCGCAGGCCCATACATTTTTTTTGGCTCGTTTTTCCAGACCAGAGGCTGCCAAATTTCTTGCTTTGCGGGAAATATTAGGGATTTCTGCCTCGACATTGACCACTGACGTAGTTTGATGGTCATTTCTAGACTCGGGTGAGGTTTACTCATAGTTAAACAAGATACCAACATGGCCACAATATCCTCGAACTGCGCTGGATCTGGAGCCCTGGTCTATGTTGCCCCGGGATTTGATAATTTATGTTCTTTGTTTTGTTCAATGAACCCCAGAACCCCACCCACTGTTGTTGATATCAGAGGTGCCTTTCTATTTTTATTCTGTTCTTTGATATCCTCTCGACTTGATCTCGACCATATGAGCTAATGTGACAAATATAGAATATCCCATGCTCATGCTGTCCTGGCCCTATACCTTGTTTGGCATTCAAATGCTTTGTCCGTCAAGAAACAGGGTGCTACCATGGGTATTCGATTCAGGGCGCTCGGCGTGTTCTTTCATCTCGTGCTTACCATCTACAATATGCCACTCTATTTCTTTCGGTTGATAAAGGTGACATTCAACCTAGCATGTTGGACAATGAATCCCTCTCGTTGTCATTAAAGCACTTGGTTCGCACCGTTTCGGCCTTTGGTTCATAGTTTCCAACCTCCTCAGACCAATATAGGACACCCCAATATTAGGATATTGCTCTTTATTGAGCCCATTGTGGCAGATTTTCAGGTTCCTTAACTCTCAGCTTATCGTGATGAATAATTTCTCTCCGCTCGAGATTCCTCCCCTTTCGGATTTCCCATCGAAGGCGGAGGACCTCGAACACCCACCTCCACCTTTACCTCTTTACGATTTGACCCGTCTTCCTAATCCGCCTGGTGACTGGGAACATTTCAATGTCAAGTTTAGAGCTGTTGCATCGGGTCATAGTCGTTCCTTGAAGCTCCCACAGGTGCAAGTGTTGATGAAGCATTACTTCTGGGGAGTGCATTATGATGAACCAACTAGGACCACCATGACAACGAGAAAGAAGCCAAATCTCAAAACTCAACAGACACTTCTGTTCAAACTGATATACTACATGCAAGAACGCCATCGGCCGAAGACTTGGTTAGATATGCTCAATGTTAACCGAGATACTGGACCACGACTCTTGCGATACGACCTCAATCCACGCCCAAAGCCACTCAGTAGGTGGTACAATACTCCTCCGGATGTGAGCACACGTATCTTGAATGCATATATACGTCCTCATGACGCGCCACCAGACATGCCCGACTACCTTATTCAACAATATATGTACTCAGTTGACAGCTTGCACACACCACCCCCACCTCCACCACCTCCGGCGCCTACACTCACCGAGCAACAAGAGGAAATCCTCCATATACATCTGTTGCATCACATGAACCCAGGAGTCCAATTTGCACCGGCTTTTTCATTGACCGACCCGCCAGGCAAGAAGATAACAGGCCCTGCACCAGGCCAAAAACGGGATTCAGACGGAGACAGGCTACCCCATCGCAAGCGCTCGAGACAAATTTCACCCGGTGCCCCTGCTTACCGAGGTCGCCCTCGTTCCCCAACTCCACCGTTTCAAGAGCCCGTCTTTGCTGCTGATGATATCACAACTTTCACCTGGACGCCTGGTCTGGCACCGTCCCATACAGTGGCTCCCATTGGAAGGCACCAATTGAGCCCCCTTGTCCCGAAACCTTTAGGTCCAATTGACGCTCGAGAGATTACGGACGCTGTGGAACGAGCTGTGATGCAGATCGCGTATGCTGATTTAGACCGCGATCCCACCATTCCGTCTATTGAAAAGCCTATTCGCCACCGGACCGCCCAGTCTTACAAGGATATTCTCTCGCTAAAACTTGGATCATTCCCCACCACGGCAAATGTAAAGTTGTCGCCATTGACCTTTGATTGGGATCCAAATGGCCCTGTATTTCCGGTTCGGGGCCGCGGCCCTATCTGGGATTCAATGTCTTGTGCAACAGATGCTGTTATTGTGGCGGCAATGCTACTCGATGCTGGTTGCACCAAGATAGATCGTGCAAACAATCGAGCAGCGGAGTTCAAAGATATCGAAAAAGCATTCATCGAAGTGACAATGGCGAGCTGGGAGACCTTCGACGATAGGACTTCTATATTTGTGCGTGATGAGTGGCTCCGTATGTTTATCGATGGCTCAAGCGGCTTGAAAATGGGACAACCGATTCCTCCTTGGGCGGTTTGGTCGGTGGCCACGAGAAGCTTCGCTCAATTCCGCTATTTCCATGTTGAGCGAGTGACTCCTTGCAAATGCCAGTACGCGCTTCCATTCTACAACTCCCATCAAGGATCGTGCATTTTACCTGGCTACCTACCGGGCGATGAAAACGGTGTAGATCTACAAGTGTTGATCGAGCGATGTTTCTACCCACGAAAGTCTTTCAAGTGCGATAAGTGTGGTGACCCGACGGGAGTCACTGGAGAACGAAAGATCGGTCAACTCCCGCTGCGTCTGGTGGTAACCTCTGATCTCAAGACTCGAATCCGAAATCACACGGAGAATCTCAAATTCAATTACATAGACTATGAGGACAAGCAACAGGTCGCACACTATCGTTGGCTTGGCGGCATCTATAACAACGAGTCCCATGCTCGTTTGTTTTGGACGGATACGATACGAGGCGAGAAAGATGATGGGAATATCATGATGTACGACAGCCAAGTCAATTCCGCGGTGATCGTCGGTGGAATCCCAGCGTTTCAACGTGAAGAAAAAGTACCCACTGAATGGGTCAGCCATCACGCTATTCCGCTCCTTTTCTATGAACGAATCATGAATCCCACCAACGAACTTTTGGCCAAGGCCACCAACGCGATGCTTGAGTTGGGTAATTGCCTAAGCGAGAACAAGAACGTTCTCGAAGAACATATCCCTTGGGAGCGATCAACTCCTCCATTGCAGCGCGAGTCATGGCCTCGTATACTTTCACACAATGGTGAACGATTCAGCAATTTCAACCCCGGATGGGCAACAGCGCGAACATCCCCCAACCCAGCCGCTGCACAGACTGCTACACCCCCTCTGGCACCTATGCACATTGACCCGGCGCTTCTTGATCCATTGGTCATTGACCCATCGCTCCTTGATCCATCACTTTACTCGACCCACACACCTCCGGAATTTGACTTGACCTCATTCTTTGATGTGAATGGACTTGGTGACCCATCGGGTAGTGACCAAGACCCAACTGAGAATACAAACAAGAATCATCTGTTCAGGTCGATGATGGAGAGTCCACGCTGGCTCCCTCCAAATCCTGATATGTGGCCTTCGGGTTTACCCAGCGAGGAAGGAGCTCTGGACTTCCCCGAGCTACCTATGTCACCCCAGTCGCCCGAACTGGGCAATCGCCGGGGCAAGGGCACTGAGTGGTCAGATATTACCATGCCAGATGCAGAGACTATTCCTGAGCTTCGAAGCCGACTCTTCCGCAATAGGCATGGTAATGGACTGAAGAGGTCAGCGATGCAAAACTACGCTCTTTCGAAGCAGGCCCTAAATCCAAGAGAGAAGCAGGCCCTGCGTACAGAGAAGGCGCATGGATTCAACTCAAGGATGAGATTTAGTGATCTAGATGAGAACAATGAGGAAGGGGAGAAAGAGGACGAAATTAACCGAAAGAATGCCGAGATGCAAAGGAAACAGGACCTATTTGAACGGAAAAGGGGAGAGGAACGGAAAAAGCAAGAGGAACTTGAGAAGAAGAAGAGAAAAGAGGAGCGGAAGAAGCAAAAAGAACTCGAAAAGAAGAAAGAGGAAGAAGATAAGAGTGAAAAGGTGGTACAGAAGAAAGACCCGAAACGGACGAGAGAGGAATATTATAAACAGCGAACACAAAAGGATGAACAGATGAAACAACAAGAGGCGAAGCCGAGGGTATCAAGAAGAGCTGGATTGAGGAATTCGAAGAAGAAAAACACCGATCCAACTTGGAGACCTGGTAGTGATGCCGATGATGCCGATGATGCCGATGATGCAGAATTGTCATGATTTATGTTATTATTCTATTTTGTCTCCAATTTATTTAATAAGATTCAATATACACATACACAAGTATAATACTATTGATACTAGTCAACATGGCCATCTGCCAATCAGCGGGCTCTTATTTGATATACCCGAGGCCCGAGTATAACACGAGTACTTGGCTAACTAGTTAGTACATGTGTAGTACATTTGTAGTACATATGGTAAGACCTTTCTACAGTCATAAGTACTCATTTGAATACTTAATACCCATGAACAACGTATACATCCATACTAGCATAGTATTATACCCGATATAGCCGTGACCGTTTCCCCGCAGTCTCTACCCCAGACTTGAGGGATTTCCCCTTTTTCCCTCTTTTCTATTTCATGTTACAATTTCACAATAACTACAGAATGTACATACTAACAGTCATCAGTTATCTTTATCACATTCTATGATTTATGATCTATGATCTATTTACACGTCCGAATCCTGCACTCTGCAGTCCCAGGTTTACTAACGCAGTGGGGAATTAATCCAAAAAAATATAAAAAAACAAGCCAAAAAACAAAGAAAAAGATGTCACTCTACAGACGCGCTCTGGGCGGACCTGTAGCAGTGTTGCTCTTCTTCGGTGCCGACACATACCCACCAAGAGTGCCGTCAGTGTTGGTCACCGTACCCTGAGCATCACGCCGGATACCAAGTTCAATCAACTTGGCAAACACCTTGGCGAAGTGATCGAAGAACAACTCCCTATCCTCAGCATACCGCTTAACCCATGGGGCAAATACCGGATCCGTGGAGAGCGCCATATCAGTTGGCAACATCATTAAGGGCTCCTCATCCTCCTCGGCATCGGGATCCTCATACACAAACTGGGTGTTACCCGACGCCATCTTGCGAGGCTTCCAGTCAAGCTGGAGCAACAATTTGAAGAAAGAGTTTGAGAATCGCGTAGGGTTCGTCACCCACGGACCCTCGAATCCACTACGGTCGCCGTGGCATCGGCCAAGGTTGTGTCCGCCCGTCAGCGCTACGATCTCCTGATCGTTGAAACCCATGCGGTAGAAGATGAACCGCAGGTGGTCGGCGCCCTGGGCTCCGTCCGGCAGACGTCCTCGTGGCGGCAACTTGGTCTCGCCGATCAAATCTGTTCGTCCGCCTTGCCAGGGGATATCGGGGCCGCCCATCTCCTTGATCGCCACTACGCCGGCCAGTGTCCACAGATCCGAGTACGTGATCCAGGGGTGCTTCTCTTTAATCGGCTCTAGGAATGCGCGTCCGTGCTGCAGACCAGCGTTGGCGGGATCGCCACCCTCTGCTTCGTATCGCATGCCGGCTCCGTTGGAACCACCGGTGTCGGATTCGGCATCATATGTGCCAGATGAGTGCCTGTTTGCGAAATCGTTGTCAGTGACATTATGTTGACAAGGGCTTATCGCCGTTGATCTGGGGAGCCCCGACCGGGAAAACGATAAGGCTTCAAGGATCCCATTTACTTACCATGCGAGTCGGACGAACACGGGCCCTGCACTGCCATCATCATAGCCGGGCTTCTTCAGGATATCGGCAATGTCCTTGCGGACGGCGTCATAGTCGTGGGTGCTCATTGTCGGGTATCGGCCGATAACGCGGTCCGGGGTATGTTTATCGGGAGAAAATCGAGCAAACTCAACGCCGGCTTCGAGATGGTTTTGCAGAGGGTTGAGTGAAAGGACTGAAGATCAGAATGAGAAAAGAAAAGAGAAAAAGAAAAAGAACAGGAAAAGATGAACCGAAAGACCCCGGACTTTCCACATGAGAAGTCGGTGGATCCGCGGGCCGAATCAGCCTGCGCCTATTGAAGATGCCGAGGTTGGACCTGAACACTTCCTTATGATCTGTGATTCTTGCAATTCTTGCAATTTCCGATTGGATTGTCCAGTTCCGATCTGGATTTGCCATTTTAAGTGGTTATCACCTTATAAGTCCACTGAGACAACCGGAAAATACGTTACAAAGTCACATTCGCCCATCAAATGCCGATCCAGACCTCGGAACTCATACGCCGACTTTGCAGTTCGGATATTGCACTCATGTTGCACTCATATTGATAGGCAAATCCGAGTCTTCCAAGGTTGTTTAGTATATTATTTGCAAGGTACAATTGAAATGAGTCATATTTGACAAAGGCAGATCTCTTTTGCCCTAACAAGTCAGGGCCAAAGGAAAGCTGCAAGTGTAAACGGGTTTCCATGAAAGCTCAAAGGAAAGGAAGAGATCAAAGAAATCATAGAGAACAATGAAGACAAATAAAACAAAGAAACCCCCATAGATGTGAGAAAAATCTGACCGAAATCAAAACCCTTCCTCCTTCATACTTCCAAGCTTCCATCGTCACTCTTCACAATCTCATATTCTCCATCGATATCCCCCCCCCTGCCATCGACATTGTCATTCGAAGCATCTTCGGGTAAGTTCTTCTTCAAGCAAGCTCGCAGCATATCCCGCTCATTTTGTAGGCGTGCGACTTCCCCTCGTGCCTCTCGCAGCGAGGTGCTCAACTTCCGCATCTTCGTCAGATATGCCCGACCCAACGTATCTGCCTGACCTGCCAGTCGCGAATAGTTCTTCCGGATCAAGGCCCTCTCTTTGCGAAGTCGACGAACATGTCGATCCAGCAAGTGTCGCTGCTTCACATCTGTGTCGCGGATTGTCTGGATCACCTTGTCGATTACCCTAGTGTGCTGTGCTTGCAGTGTGCCTTCTTCAGAGTACCTGGCGATGCTTATGAAGGTTGCGCAGATGTCTGCTGCGACTGATGCCATCAGCTCGCCTTTTGTGGTGGAGGTTTGTCCTTCTAGGTTCTCAAGACGGAGAGCACAGGATCCTGGTGTGTTTGGTTGCTGGCTTGGATGCTCTGGTGCCATCGCCGGTATCGTTGAGGTGGTCCGTTTTTCGGATGAGATTGTTGGCTTTTCAGATGACATGCTGAGTGCTCTGTTTCTCGTCGGAGACTGTTCTTGTGGGCTCTCTTCTCTTGGACTCTCTGGGGGTATGAAAGTTTCAGGCATGAAGAGGAATAAGAAAGGAAGAAGAATGTAAATCTCAGAGGGTGTTATAAACTTGAAAGGATTATGAAATCAGGTGAGTTTGTAGGTAAGTCTTTTTCTTTCCACCCCAGTTTTCAGCTAACAAACATTGGCTTTGATCGTATTCTTTCTTTGTCAAGGTGAGATTCATTGATCGGTGTGATTCATGTGGTTCGACCATTGGTATGGCCATTCCTATCTTCCACTCCTGGATACTATCTATAGTGCAGATACAATCGCATCACCAACTTCTCTAGTCCCAGCCTTACCCCCAAGGTCAGGCGTCCGAAGCCCTGAGTCCAGCACCTTGCGCACCGCATCCTCTACACGTCTAGCCTCATCTTCCATGCCCAAAGAGTATCGGAACATAAGCGCAACGCAGAGGATCATTGCAACTGGATTGGCAATGTTTTGTCCCGCAATGCTATAAAAAAGTTAGAACAGGGGTTCTTGTCATAGTTCTGGCACTTACGTCGGAGCAGATCCATGTGTAGGCTCGTACAGCCCGTAAGGTCGTGTCTTCAACGTCTTATCACCAGGCAGACCATTGAGACTGGCACTCGGCAACACACCCAGAGTACCCACAATAGACCCAGCTTGATCGGAGATCATGTCGCCGAAGGTGTTGTCAGCCAGGATAACACCATTTAAGGACCGCGGGTTCGTTGCTAGAATCAGTGATGCAGAGTCTGCCAGCTGGTGTACCAATTTCACTTGCGGGTACTCAGCTGCCATGGTCTTGTCCACTACCCGGCGCCAGAGTCGCGAAGAAGCTAGTACATTTGCCTTGTCCAGTGAGATCAAAGGCCAAGGTGGATTGTGTCGCAGTGCCACTTCGGCAGATAGACGGGTAACTCGTTGGATCTCGGCTTCGGAGTAGCCCCATTCATCCATTGCTGGAGTAGAAGAAAAAGTTAGATTGCTGTTCAATCAACTGAATCTCAGCTCAGCCCACCGTATGTTTCTTCTTCAACCTTGCGGCCAAAATAGGCACCTCCACAGTTCTCCCGCACCACAACAAAATCAACTCCTTCGATAACATCGTGCTTGAATGGGCTGAACTCCTTGGCGATGGAGGCACTCGGCGAGGTAGAAGAGCACGGGCGTAGGTTTGCATAGATATCCATAGCCTTGCGCAGTTGGAGTAGTCCTCCCTCGGGTCCATCAAGACCACGACGTTGGTTGTCCCATTTCGGACCGCCAACTGCAGCGAAGAGCACTGCGTCTGAGTCTAGAGCTGCCTGTTTGACTTCTTCAGTGACAGACTTGCCATGGGCATCAATGCTGCAACCACCAATCAACTCCTGGCGCAGTTCAAACTTGCGTTGAGGGGTCTCAAAGGCCTTGAGAACCTTAACGGCTTCGGCCATGACCTCAGGACCGATGCCATCCCCAGGTAGGACGAGGATATTGAAGTTTTTCGCCATAATGATATGGTATTTCTTGCTACAAAGGTTTATCTGGGGTAAATCGGATTATCCTCATACTCCTGGCACCCAAGACTATATATGGCCTATGTCGGAAGTCGGTCTTCAACCCGATTGATGCGGGGTTTCATTTGGTGTTTGGTCGGGCTTTCACCGATGACATGGCCTCCGGTGTGCGGAGGTCTGTCCTGTCACAGGGCTAAGGAGGTATGCGATTCAACTGTCCGTGGAGTTGTCGGTTGTGAGGGGTAGTATGCAAGATCAGAATTAAGATGTCCGGACTGTCTACTAGGTAGTATGTCATTGCTCAGTAGAGTACCTCATGTATCAAACAGTGTGGTGTATGTCCTTGTTTCCTGTTATAAGAGAGTTTTGATAGAACGATACCAACAGTGAAGCAAATATGCACAAATATGCATAGATAGTGGAATATAACTTAACAGCAGCAAGTTGATAGAATGATAGCCAAGGAGTATGAAAAGTTGTGGCCTCGGGCATGTATCTATTTCTCCACATGCGGTTATCCGACTTAGAAACGTCCCAGTGCATCGTGGAAAGATTTCGATAATCTTAAACCCAACAATCTTCTTATAATCGCTTATCTTCTTTCGATTCCTTTCGAAATAAATCTTACATCTTTGGATCTCATTTCCAGCCTGACTAATCCGGTAATAGGGCTTAGGGTCGATGGGGACCCCCTCCTGTTTGCACCGTTTGCATTGCGGGCATCATTTCTAAGCATTTGGACGATCTCCAATTCTCCGAGAGCAAAATACATTTTCCTGTGACAAACCTACAAGATGTCACGCGTCGAAGAACTTCCAGATGATTTTGATGAGTCGCTCGACCTCAACAAGGCTCCTCCCGAGGTCGCCCAGGGCCTACCCCAGCCCGGGTTTGATGCCTTCGCTCCTACAAACGAAATTCCCTTCCCGATCAACGAGGAAGCACTGAAGGCGCGCCAGACCGATCCCAATGCGCCTGAACTCCCGCCCGCTATCGCGGCTATCCAGTCGCATACCCCGGAGGAGTTGATGGCAATGATGAATAAGACTCCTCTGTTCATGACCGATATTGAGAATGCGGGCGATGAGAGTACGTCGGATCATTGCTTGGATATAATTGTTTGATTTGACTAATATATATCGGTTTACAGAGGGTGAAAACGTTCTCTTAGATGCCCTCCAGGCTCTGCAGAATGAAGGTACCAGGGGTGAGGTTGCAAATACCTTCAAGGGACAAGGCAATGAAGCCGTGCAGGAACTCAAGTGGATTGACGCTAAAGAGTTCTACACAAAGGCTATTGCTGTTATTAACGCAAAGGAGGATAAGTGGGAGAAGCCTGAAGATCCTGAGGAAGAGGCGGCACTGCTGCGCAAATTGGAGGAAGCGTCACACATCAACCGAGCATTGTGCAACTTGGAGCTAGGTATGTTTTATCTTCCTGGCCATACGGGACATTGGCTAATATATTTCCTGTGCAGGAAACTACCGTTCTTGTACTCTCGACTGTGCTGCCGCCCTCAAGTTCAACCCCAAAAACGTGAAGGCCTTCTATCGCTCCTCCTTGGCACTCTTCAAGTTGGACAAAGTCGCCGAGGCTGAAGATGCTGCAGCCCGAGGATTGGCAATTGACCCAGAAAGTAAGGCTCTTAAAGAATCTGCCAAGAAGATTGCCGAGCGCAAGGCCCTTTTGGAGCGTGCTGCCGCGAGGAAGAAGGCCGAAGAAGAGAAATTGCGCAAGCAGAATATGGTCCTCAGCACAGCTCTGCGCGCCCGTCAGATCAGAACCCGCAAAACCGACCAACCTCCTGATATGGAAGATGCAAAGATCCGCCTCGTCCCTGATCCTCTCTCGCCGGAGAGCACAATTGAGTTCCCGGCCGTTTTCCTCTACCCCATGGACGCCCAGTCAGACTTCATCAAGTCGTTCTCGGAGATGAACGCTATTGAGGACCATTTGAATTACATCTTCCCCCTTCCTTGGGACACCAAGAAGGAATACACTCCCGAAGGTGTTGAATGCTTCATGCAGACTGTCTCTGGTGGTTTGATCAAAGCTGGCAAGAAGCTGCCTTTGTTGCAAATTCTCTCCGGGGGTAAGGTCGAGGTTGTGGATGAGCTTGTCAGTATCCATATCGTGCCTCTCTCCAAGACCGGTAAATACATCGCAGAGATGAAGACGCGGAAGACTGGCTGAGCGGTATCTCATTAATACCAAGCCCACTGCCCAACTTTCAACCCATCCCGTGGATCTCTGTGGAATTCGCGTCCACAAAATCATCACACCCATGGGAGGAGTGTTGCCTACCAAGACTCCTGTCCATCGACCTGGCAGTCTGGATTTGGCTGCAACAGTGGTCCCTAACCACTCTTAACGCTCTGCTCTGGTCCTACCACAGAGCAACATGTTATAAAGTCCCTGATACCCCTTAAAAGCGCCAGTCTTGCGTACATAGATGCATTTTCAGATTTTTATAGATATCATAGGCGGGAAATGTCCCTGGGAACAAGAGGTCCCACCACTGATCATAATCCAACATATCCAAGGCTGAAGTGAAATCATCCATTGGCCCAGATTAGTCATAGCTGTTATTTGAATGACCTTGAACGTACGGTGTAAATCGCAATCTATGATTACATGGTGTGTGCAGAGCGCCAATGTAGGTTCAATTATCCAAAAGAGGGGATGTACACCCGTCTAGCCTGAATGAGCATTGTGGGGGACATATCTGAATCACCAACCTCATTCTGATTCTGATTCGACAATACTGTACTTCCAAGGTTACCTAGGTAGCCAAGATGTACAGGAAGTCGAAAGGGAAAAAGAGTTGATCGACAGCCTTGAAGATTCCCCGGATTTGTAGAAGCGGAGAAGGGTGCATTTACCCGGTCTCTTTCTTTCGGCTTCACGGAGAAATATGAAAAACGCCTCTTTTGGCCCTGAAGAAGATACGGAATTTGCTCCGCTGTCTCTTTATTGGTTTCTCTATCCTATTCACCATGTGGCACCGCGTCCCGTGCCTATTTCCCTGGCTAAAGTGACAAACTTCATGCACGAGCTCATAATCTTCAGGTATCTAACTAAGTAGAGATCAAGGCTATTTGGCTATTCCAAAAAGCCGCGACAATTATGCCACGGCCTGTCGGTCCGGCAAAGTTCACAAAGTTGTCAAATGTGAAATTACCTAGCGCCGGGGGCCTGGAACTTGCAAGACCCTGACAATTTAGCTATCGCTGTTTATCTCCGACTATAAAAGAAGCTCATCCCTTTCCATTCCTCATTCCAAGTCTAGATTGTGATCCACTTCAATCATTGGCGTTGATTATCTTGTCATGGTTCACTTCTCTACTATTGCCCTGGCATTGGCCAGTGTTCTTCCTCAGCTGTATGGTTTTATCTTTCAATCCATAGCATACTTTGACAGTGATTGATGCCCTTTGTTTTAATAGGACTCGAGGAGCCGGCTT